GACATACGGACGGATAGATGAATAAATAGATATAGACCTGAGACTTGTATAAAGGGACATCTACAGACATACTCAAGTTTCTGTATCACTTGCCGGTGTGACCATTGTATGGGCCAGTGGCTAGACACTTCAATCCTGGAAGCTACTTTTAGCCATGTTGCAAGGGACTCCAAGTTGCTCCTGTTTGAGGCTTCGCCACATGCTCGCACGCTTTATCGTCAGAGGCTGGGAGCAAAATGCATGAAATGCATAGGTCAAGTTGGTCAGGTCTTGAATGGTCTTGACATGTGTACTGACACGGTATTCCCAAGCGGCATCAACTTGGCAATGTGGAGCCAAGCACAGGCAAGGGCATGATGCCAGGGGCTTTTATCTGAAAGCAGCCGTGGCATGCAAGAAGTCAACATGAGTAACATTAGTCCATGTTGGGGAGACCTTTTCAAGACTGACGTTGGCATCGGTGAGCTGCTTACGGCTGCTTGTGACTCCAGCATGTACTTTTTTTTTTCCGCAGCTGCAAGACGTTTTCCTCTATCCAAGGTAGTGCTGCCCGTTGAAAGGCTTATATCCGTTATCCGCGAGAAAACTGAAACCGATGTCGACCCCAGGACCAGTCAAGGGAGGGTATAACATGGTATAGGTATAGTTAATATGGTATAACACTGCAAGACGTTGCAGGGCTTTGCAGGGTGAAAGATGCCAATTGCGCCGAAGGACTCTGAGCCTTGCAATTTCCCGCTTGGAGTTTGCCTGGTGGCCGCCTCAGCATGCTGCTCCTTTTTGGGGGTCCTGGTCGGGGGTAGAACATTCCATCCCTAGAACGCGAGGCCCTCAACAATCTGTTCAAACGAAGAAAGTGGCTTCACCGACGCTCAGACTGCAAGAGTTGAATCTTTCCAATCCTACGTCGAATGTATGCAAGTACATTTACGCCCAAGCACTGGTAAGCTAGCTTGACCAGAAAAGGGATGAAACGGGCACAGTGTCCTACAAAGAATCTTGGCATTTCCGGTCAGGACTTCAAGCTGTTAGACTTCCACTCTGGTCAGATGGTCAACGAGGGGTCCGAGTGTGCCAAAGCTGCATCCATATCATCCATATCATCCATGGCTTCATGCTGTAGAGTGGGTTCGAGATGGTTTGAGCCCGGGAAACAGCAGGATTTGAATTTGTTGTGATTCTATGTTCTCCATCTGCGTCATGGGATGCTGTGCATGGGATGCAGTGCACCTTGAGGCGGCTCACTTGTGGCGAGTAGCATTGATCGGAATGGCGAACTGCGCTTACCTCCGGATGGCAACCAGGCACTCTTCTTATTGGCTGGCATGTCAGGAGCTAAGCTGACCAGGAATCTTGAGACATCTTGCGACTTTTTGGGTCTACCAGAACCTTGAGATACCTTGAGGAATCTTGAGGATGGTTCCGGATGCACGGCACCACTAGAATCTGTGGTACCTGGTAGCCCTTCACCATGCGGTGAGGTTCGGTAGCAAATATGACAACAGCGACGGCGGGGCAGAGGTGGGATTGCAGACTTGCTGATGCTGACTTCTTGGACTTCCAGGAATTCAGGTCACGTGACCACGCCTGTATGTTGCGTTCCGGGCGTGGCTATGGTCATAGGTGAACCTGCGGATAGCGCAGCTGGTTTTCCATGAGTTCCGGGACAACGGAGACGTGATTGAGTACAGCAGCCTGGCGGAACCAGGATGAACCAAGATGAACCAAGCATTTGTTGCAAGTGTTGAATGATTTGAATATCCTCCAAGGCATGTGTGGTCGAGGATCTTTAACCTGGAAGGCAGGTGGTCATGGGTGAAACTTATGGACTTGTGGAATCTTATGGGTGCCATTTCTAAAAGGCCCATGGGCGGAGAGTGTGCAGCTCAGACTGCAACTCTTTCCCCTGCTACGGCCGGCAACAGGAGCGGCACTTCTATCTTGGATGCCCCAAAGAGAATCCGCTTGAGATCGTGTATTCCGACAACAGCTTGGGGTGTCTCTTCTGCAGCACCATCTTGGAATCTGGAGATGCCATATCTATCCATATCTCATGGTTTTGACACGAGATGTCTTGATGGGCTGATGATGCAACCCGCATCTCCTGTACACATGAAGCAAGTGGCACGGCTGACAGGGGTGCTGTGAAGCTCTGCGACGGGGGCATTCCATCGGAGGATCAAGCAATCCAATCGAATTGACTCTTGGCTTGACCACCAACTGACCATCACACCGCCCCAACAATGACCAGACAGATCGCTCAAGGATGGCTAAGACTAGGGTGGACTTGGTTGTCAAGGACTTTCCCAGGGTTTCTCCGTTCAGCAGTATTTCTTTGATTTTCCCGTCTGTAGAGATATGTCCTCAACCAGCACTGGCCACATATATACATTCATATACAATTTTTGCAGCATACCACTGCCCACGGCAATTTTTCCCAAGAACACGCAGACACACATGCACCTACCTGTGCGCACATACGCGCACATGCGCACACACACACACACACTTGTAAGACAGAATGTTTGTTCACGAGGCTCATATCGATGTGAAAAGGCCGTTGTACCCAAACATGTTAAAATAAATAAAAATGACGAATTGAGTACGGTCGCCGCTGTGAGTGAATCACAGAATTTCAGAATCGAAATGGTAGCATGGCGGGTATGTCTGACTGATCAGGTCAGATATCACCAGCACTCATCCAGTGTCTTCGTTGGTGCAAGACTGGATGGGCTGCTTGCACCCCCTGCCCTAAAATTGAAAAATTGAACAATTTGCAAACTTGTAAGTCCCTTGGAAACAGGGGTTGACCCCACACACACACACACACACAAACACAAACACAAACACACACACACACAAGCCCCTCTGCACCATCCGGTGCGCTCAAGTCTCCCTACGGGGTGCGGTGCAGCCCACGTTCATCGATTTGATTTCTGGCGCCATATATCATCTGTGCTTTGATTGGCTTGTACTGTACCTGATTTTGGTACGAATCTGATCCTCCTGACAAATTTGACAAGACGGCATTTCTTATTTCAACTTTGATTTTAATTTGGTCCTTCTGCCCCTGCGGCTTTGCGGATTTTGAGTCAACGACTGCTCTTGATTGCGCTGCATCCTGCCATCTGGGTGCGACACGAATTGATACCCTCAGGGCAAAGCTGTCCAACAATCGATCCGGCAAAGGGGATCATAAGTGTTTGCAATCACTATACACCAGAATCATTACCGCAGTGTCCACACTGTGCAATCGGACCTTTTGCCGTGGTATCCCCAGGGCTTGCCTACGCATTCAAAACTTTGCAGGTTTGATCTTCCTTTGTTTTACACTGTGCAACTGGACCTTCTGCAGTGGGGTCACAACCACAGCGGTTACACTGAGCAACTGGACCTTCTGCAGTGGGGTCTGTGAGACTTGTTTTCAACAATTATACACAATTGCAAACTTGGCTCTTCGTTTTCTCTCCCTGAGTTACAGGACCTTTCACAGTGGAGTCACGACAGCGGTCACACTGTGTAACTGGACCTTCTGCAGTGGGGTCAACCGGGATTGCTCTACAATATATCGACTTGCAGGCATTTCTACACTGTGCAACTGGACCTTCTGCAGTGGAGTCAACACAACAGCGATTACACTGTACAACAGGACCTTCTGCAGTGGGGTCAAAGGGACTTGCCTACAACAACTTCACAGACTTGCAGGTTTGATTTCCTATTTTCAT